AGGGCCACCCCGCCCTGTGGGTCTGTACCCCATGCCCAGCCCTCGTTTTCACCTCGAGACCCCTGCCAGGGTCACCTGTCACAATCTCTTGTTGGACCCTCACCTGTGACAGAGTGCAGGTGGACAAAGCCCCCACAGGGCTGACCAAGCCCAGGGCAGCCCCTCAGGAGGGGGAGAACCCAAGCACAACCATGGATGGCCTGCGAGTCCCAGGTGTGCACGTCCCAGGCACCCGCCATGAGCCAGGCTGCACACGGAAACCAAGGCTCCGTCCTCTTCCCGGACCGAAGCCTGCATCTCAGTGACCCAGTGGAGGGAAGGCCCAGGAGAGGGTGCTAGGCGGTGCTGCCCAGAGAAAGGAAGAGGCTGGGGTGTCAGGGGCAGAAACCCCGGGAAAGTGCCGGCCGAGCGTCCCCCTGCAGTTTGTGGAGCCCGAAGCAGCCTCCTTCTGCCTCTGCACAGAGCTCCGACCCTGGCCCCGGCCCAATGCCCTCCCTCCCCACCTGTGCCTGAGCAGCCCGCCACCCCTTGGGTCAGGGGCAGAAACCCCGGGAAAGTGCCGGCCGAGCGTCCCCCTGCAGTTTGTGGAGCCCGAAGCAGCCTCCTTCTGCCTCTGCACAGAGCTCCGACCCTGGCCCCGGCCCAATGCCCTCCCTCCCCACCTGTGCCTGAGCAGCCCCCGCCACCCCTGAAGACCACTTGTTCCCTGCACTCTCCCCCAGCAGGTGACCCTGGGACACATGCACCGGCCCGGTGAGTCATGCGTGAGGACAGCCCCACAGCTCCTCCAGGACCCTCACCACCTGCAAGAGCAAGAAGAGGTGGTCAAGGGCATGGGGCCACCCAAGCCAGCCAGACAGCCTGACCAATCCCCACCGCCTCTGGAACTACACTCTGTGGAGAAAATGCCCAAACTTCATTCTGCAGAAGGCAGGCGAGGAGCCCGGCCGGGCCAGTTCCCAGCAGGCCGAGCTGCATTAAACAGTTTAATCAATTAGAGAGACGCAGCCTCGGTGTCAGCTGCAGCACTAATGAGGGCGCCCCACCCCCACCCGTGGGACCCGCAGCCTGCTCTGGTGCTAGGCAGGTCCTGCTGGGCGGGCGCAGCCCCAGGAGAGGGTCTGGGAGCCCAGCCCTGCGGCCCTGCTGGACATCTGGCCATGGTGCCCAGCCGTCCCTGCAGCTTTATTTCCAGACCCGCCATGGCTCCAGGCGGGTCCACTGTGTGGGGCACAGCTCACACAACAGCTGGGAAGGATGAAGCCTCACTTTGTGGGCAAGGACACAGAATTCCCAGGAGCCCATGCCCCAGGGAGAACCAGGCGAGGGGACTCTCCCTGCCACCCAGCAGGTCCACGGCTGCCTCGTCAAGAGCACACGTGTCACCCAAGCACATTCAGGACACACAAGCACACTGGAAGGAGAAAAGGCCAGCACCGCTCACATGGCTGCCCCACAGCAGAAGTCTGCACAGGGTCATCTTAGCTTCAAGGCTGTGATAGGAGTACAAGCAAAAACACACAGAGCCAGCATTGCACACACACTTTCAGCGTTTTTGAGCACTGGGGTGGGGAGGGTGGCACCAGCCTGCCGAGCCCTGCGGTGAGGTCTATGATAGATAGCTTAGCGGCCCGTGGCTGCTGTAACCAGCCAGCAGCAAAGTGTCCCATTGCACATTCTGGAGTCAGAGGTGGCCTGAGGCTGAGGTGTGGAGAGCTGGGTCCTGTTTCTGTGCCTTTGTCAGCTTCTGGAGGCACCTGTGCTGCGCTGCTAAGCCTGTGGTCCTCTCCCGGTTCTGTCAGCGTTGCATCTCTCTAGTCTCCCTGTTCACCTCTTCTGTTCTCAGGACCCCATGATCCCATGGGGCACAGAATTACTGTTCCTCTGATGAGCAGTGGTCACTGCCCTCTGCTGTGAGGCTGTGGGGATCAGGAGAGGACATCAGGACCCAGCAGACAGTAGAGAAGAGTCAGGTCACAGACACAGAAACATGGTCACTAGGAATCAGAAACACACACTGCCAAGGGGCGAGACTCCCAGGGAGCAGGCTTTCACCTCAGACCTGATGGCAAAAAGCAGAGGAATCGCTGCAAATCTAGAAAAGGGCTGGGTGCTGCACTTCGTTCCCCGGCCACTCTGTATTTGCACTCCCAAGGAGACCCCAAAAGCAAAGGGTAGCGGGAGGCGTCAGTGGCAACACTGGGACTTGTCAACTCCAGCCCAGCCCAGGAGTCAGGCTGACTGATGTGGCTGAGCAGGTGACCTGCCGCCAGAAGCGCTGGTCCAGCTGCCCAGTCCGAAGGGTGCTCCTGCCTTAAGAAGACCCACGGGCCCACAGCGGCAGGGGGCCACTCCAAAGCCCATGATCAGCTTCTAGGCCAATGGGATATATATATATATATCTCATGTATTTCTCTTGGAAAAGCCATGGTCCCTGCAAAGCTGAAGGTTCTTCCTTCTCCTTGGCCCTGGTAGTGGCCACGCAGATGCCTCAGAGCTAACACCCGGTCCTGAGCAGCGGGACCCTGAGGGGCCTTCAGGGCATGCCTACCTTCTCCTGGCTGCATTTCACCTCCCTGTGATGCTCACCTCAGCTGGCACAGGTAGCCTGAGTTCGGAGCTTCCCCCCTGCCCACTCTCCAACCCCACCTCCGCCCCTTCTCTCTGCCCCAAGGATTCGCTCACCAGCAGGTTTAAGGGTGGCCACCCGTCTGCCCCAGAAGGGCAGGTCTCAGTGCTGAGCAGACCCAAGCATCCTGCCCCAGCTCACTCCCCTGGGTCAACTCCACATGCAGCCATCAGGGGCCAGGACCAGGCACTCACATCCACAGCTCAGACTCCGGATCCCAGTGGCCCCCAAGGCAGGCGGAAGCGGGCCCTACCTTACAACCACCCCATCCAGTTCCCTGGACAGAAAATGGCCCAGGGCGTGACTACAGGCCACGTGGCCTACAGGGGCCTGAGTCTCTTGGGACAACCAGTAAATGGGAAGAGTCGGCGGCCAGCATCTGCACACGTCCCCAAGTCCCCATCTGTGACACATACCTGACCAGAGGGGTCATGGGGAGGAGAGGCGGAGCTGCTCCAGGGATTCCAGGGAAGAACCGAGCCAGGAATGACTTCCCCAGGACAAAGCTGCTCCAGCTGGGCTCCTCCACCCAAGATCATGGTAAGGAGTCCCACGCGCCCAAGAGGCCTCAGGCCTGGGCCAGGTGCACACCCTCTCTAGGCCCTCACCAGGGACACACCTGAGCTGGAAAGACAGCAAGTAAGGCTTGGCTCCCCACGTAAAGAAGAGGAAGTAAAAGAAGCACAGCAGCCCCTGCTGTTTCCTACAGAACAGCAGACACAGGGCAGAGGACAGTGCCAAGAGGTATCGGTGAGGCAGAAGTGGGAGGGGCAGAGGCCACTGTAGGTCCACCCATGGGACCCCTGCAGACCCTCTGTCCAGGGACGGCTCCCTGGGGTTCCTCTCCAGGATGGTCCCTCCCTGGGCTGGCTTCTCCAGCAGGAGTTGGGTAGAGGACAGCAGCGTGGAGAGGAAGTGGTGGGCAGCAGGAGGGATCTGCTGGACAAGAGGATACCCTTGCTCCTCCCTGGCTCTAGGAGCCCAGACCATGGAAAATGCCCATCTTCACCAACCTGTTGGGTTGGCACCTCCATGGCCTCCTGGACCCCATGCCCAACTCCAGCTTGGCCTGAGTACTTCCTCCCCTGGCTTCCCAGGGAGAGTCTGCCATCCACCAGCCTCCCAGTGTGCCCTAACCTCCCTATAAGAACAGGAGGCTGCCAAACCTGCCATTCCTGCTCCACAGCTTGCTCTTGGCACCACTGGAGCCTGCTGGAAAGCAGGAACCAGGAGGGCTTCGACTCCTCCCGCCCGGGCCTGGCCACTCCAGGCTGTGCCTGTCCTGCTGACACACAGTGTCATAATCACCAGCCGAAACGGGCCGCTCCTCTCAAGCCCTACTGCCTCACACTCCTGCCCACTGGCACCTGCTACTAGTCCTAACCTGCAAGAGCCAGCACACCTGGCCTGTCACAATCCGAGCCAGCTGAGCCAGTGCACACCTGACCTCCTGCACGCCTGAGTTGATACACACCTGGGCCAGCACAAATGTGAACTGAGTGATGCCTGGTGCCTCCCAAGGCCACCCGGTGCATCCAGGGTGAGGCTGGCACAATGCTCAGCGGCTACACCAGCCTCTCTCTTCCCTGCATGGACTTGGTCTCCAGATGGGATGAATCACCTGATTCACAAATGAGCACACAGGTGTAGTCTGCTTACCTGACACCCCAGGACCCCCAACCTGGGTGAATAGCCCCTCATCCATTTCAGGTCTGTCTATAACCTTCACATATGACCTGAGTTGGAAAAGGGGTCTCTGCCAATCTGATGAAGTTGGGACAAGGGCATTAGAGCAGGTCCAGACCCAGTGACTGTGACCTTGTAAGGAGAGAAATGGGAACAGGATCCACACAGGAGAGCAGCCTGGGATGTGGGGGTAGAGACTGGAGTGTTTGGTCACAAGCCAGGACCACCAGAAGCTGGACAGACAAAGGAGGACCCTGTTCTAGGCCCATAAGGGGAAACACGGCCCTGCCACACACCAATTTTGGATTCTGGCTCCCAAAACTGTGAGAGAATTAATATCCACTGCTCGAGCCCCTGAGTGTGTGGTGACCTATCGTGATAGCCACCAAAACCTAACACCCCTGGAGGTCACAGGGGCATTGACCCTGGCCCAGACCAGGACCTGCCTGTTCACAGACTTGTGGTGGGCTCACCCATTCAGGGGACACTGAGGCCAAAGAACAAGATCTAGGTTAGCAGAAAGACTGGGCGGTGCTGAAGGGAACAGTGACCAGCAGAACATGGTAGGCAGTGCGGTACGGCCAGGCAGCGTCCTCTGGATGTGCCCATCAAGGGAGCCCAGCCCAAGAAGAAAAGGCCTGGCTGGAAATCCAGGTGGTCGAGCAGAGAGAGACACCACTGTGGGTCAGATCTGGTCTTTATTCCCTGGAGCAGACACAGTCTGCAGCCTGGGAAGCCCATGGCACAACAGCTTGCTCTTCAAAAAGCAAAAACAAAACAAGACAACAAAAAGAGACGTACATATTTGGTCCCGTAAATTCTGGTCAAAGAATAACAGTGTGGGCTTCGCAAGCCTCACTGACCACCATGCACAACCCACCTGTCCCCTCACCGACACCCAGGCCAGTGCAAGGGCTTAGGGGATTTTAAAACACAGCCCTGAACAGCACACGCAGGCATCTTCAGACACAGGAACGTTTCCTATGGACAATCTTTTTTTACAAAAAAAAAAAAATAACTTAATTTGCATTTTACAGCATCTCCAGTCAATCAGTCAGGGCATCCGTGGCTGGGATCTCGTGGGATCGGAGTCTCATGTACCTCCACAGCTGGCAGCCCGGCCAGAACAGCACCTGGCCTGCAGCCCCGGCTCCCAGCCCCCCACCTCCAGGGCCAGCAGGAGCTCATCAGAAGGTGGGCAGCACCCAGGCCCCGAGGCGATCACTCCGTGCCAATCTCACAGGGATTCAGCCCCCTCTCCTCCGCATCCCTGTACATCCTTTGGAAGTCACTGAAGCGAGGGGCACAGCCAAGCTGTGCCTTCCCGAAGTGCATGTGGCCGGTGAAGAGGAAGTCCCCGTGCCCTGGCCGCACACCACACTCCAGCAGTGTCGTGACATGGCCCTGCCAGTGTCCACTCCCTTCAGGAGCCAGCTGGAAGACCCTGCTTTTCTGCCTGTAGAGCCTGCTGACCCGCAGGTGGATGACAGACTCCTGGTGTTCTGGTGCGTGGGTGACATCCTGGATGGAGCCTCGGACAACTGCAGAGGAGAGAGACACGGGGTCAGTCGGGTCCACTCAGTGCTGTCAGCCCGAGACGGGCACATCACACCTGTCACCCTGTGCACAGCCCTAGCTTTCCTGGTGAGAACAAGAAAACAAGCAGGTGAAGCGTAAGATGCTCTGCAGCTCTGTGTCACGGTAGGCAACAGTGCAGCTCAGACGCTGGGCAACACGAGGACAGAGGGCAGGGGAGGCCTGGTGTTAGAGGCGCCAACAAGGCCATACCCGGAGACCCCTGCACAGTTCTAGAGCTCATGACAGGGCCCATCGAGCAGTCCTCGGAGCCGTGTGGGAGTCCTCTGCAGAGACTCAGAGCACCAGCTGGGTCCTGGTCTAGCATGGCCACCACCATGGCATCAGGCAAGTGAATGCCCACTGCGACCCGTGCCTTCTCCTAAGGTCTATGCACACCAGGCAGGGTGATCTATGTTCCATGGCCCTGAGCTCTCCAGGGCTTCGAAATGTCAGACACCAGGGGACCTGGGGAGGGACAGAAGGATCTCTGAGGTGAGGGCCAGCACAGGGACGGTCCGGGCTGCCCACAGAACAGCACTCATACAGCACTTCCAAGAGAGCCACTAGGCACCGCAGGGTGGTCAGAGCACCAGGGGGCCGGCTGCTCAGGAACAACACACTAGACAGTCACCAGAGTATCAACCCTAACTCTGTGTGCGTGTGGCAAGTGCTTGTGGACGTGGACACATGGGTACGTGTGCATGCGTTTCTATGTTGGTTTGCCCGGATGTGCGCACAAGCAAGCCCCTTTTCCTATGACCCAGGGGGAAGGCTACATGTACGTTTCAGTCCCTTCTCCCACAAGGAAGTCTAAGGCCCACTCTGGAGGACTCTCCCGCCCCACAAAGCCATGGGCACACAGGAAAGACGACATAAGCACACACTCACCAAAGTCACTGGTGCAGACAGCAAGGAGGACCTCAGTATTGCTGCAAGGACGGCAGGAGGCTGAGAAGGAGAGAACAGGGTTAGTACACAGCCTGGACAGAGGCAGGACCTGGGCAGTAACCACCCGAGTTGTAAAGGAGAGTGAGCCACAGACCACCCCGGCCCGATGTCTGAGCTGCACTAGACTCAATCATACAAAGCTGGGCTCAAACCTTTGTGGCCAACGCCATGTCCACAGAGTCAGGTAACACACAAGACACACCCAGCAGAGCAGGAGACAGGACACCTATGCCAGGTGCCTCAGCCCCACCAGAACCAAAAGAGCTCACAGTGCAGCAATCGTCCCAAAAGCAAGACCATAGGGAGAGGCAGCTGCACAGTTGCCCTCAATGAGGTTAGCAAAGTTGTGCCAGATAAGCAACAACTCTACTCGCTCAAAAATCACTCTTATGTGCCAACATATGTGAACCAACCAACCCTAAGCTAGACTGAGATGGTATGTCCCTCACACTACCCAGATAATTCACCCACACCCCAAAAGCTGGAGCACCTTGCTCATGTCAACAGTCAGCAGCTCCACCAAAAGGAGGCCTCTCCCACAGCATGGAGATGCCCCCTTCTCCAGACCGTCTGCAGCCACAACCCAAGAGGAGGGTCCTGTCCCACCAGGCCTCAGGCAAGGCCAAGACTCTCACGGGGCCGTGTCTGCCAGCAGTGGGGTCCAGGCCTCTCTCGAGGCCATTAGCTCAGCCCTTTCCCCAGCTCCAAACCCTGGGCTGAGGTGCACACCCCAGACACTGTTCCAACTAAGCCCCGTTCACAGAACCCGCTGTGAGGCTCCTGAAGCCTGGGGGCCTGGCTTCCCTAGAACCCAGGGTGCCAAGCCTGTTCAGAACGAGTCCCTTCCTGGCCAAACCAGACTTGCACAGCACACGTCTCCCAGGATGGCCCTCCGCCTGCCCTTCACCCCACTTCCCCAGGTGTGAAACAGCAACTCCAGACTGGCGGCTTCCCTGCAGACCACGACTCGTGTCGTCCCAGGGCGAACCTGGGAAAGCGCAGTAACACCACTTGCTCCCTGCACAGGGCAAGGCCTCTGCCTCACCTGTTGTGAGTTTCAGGGATTGGGCCAATTCACCTAACTCCGTAGAAACGTGGAGGTGTGGAAGCTGAGAGAGACAGGTTTCCCCTCACTGTTCGTGTCTGGAAAGGCTCTGGGCAGCCGAGGCTAAGGCCATCTGCGTGTCTAGCCGGCCACCCTCACCCCCTGAGCCGAGTAAGGTGGAGTTGTCACCTGCTTGACAGCTGTACAGACCCCACCTGAGTGCTGGTGACTCGGGCCAGCAGGACAGGTGGCACATGTGTCAGCGCCTTGACCAAGCATTTGCAGTGGGAGCTCAGAGAGGGGCCAAGTATGCAGCCCCCAGCCTATACACAGCTGGAGACCACGCCCCAGGGGCTGCAGCCCTCCTGGGCAGGCACAGGTTCTAAGAGCTCTGGCCTCCGGCAGGGACAGAGGCCTCCCACCACCCAGCCTGAGCACTTGTTGACTCATATCCCACCCACCACCTGCCAGCACCTCCACTTCTATTCAGTTATCAGAAAAGGAGAAGCCACGGAACAGGAAGAACCTGTTGGCTCCTCTGTCAGTCAGCCCATTAGAGGATCGCACCTGACCCCAGCTCCAGTTCTGCAGCTTTCTGATGACCAGCAGAGCCTGCCTGATGCCCATCCCACCCCCGGCTGGCAGGAGCCCCCCTCCTTCCTGTGATGCTCGCTTAGCTACACTGCATCCCTCCACACATGGGGTTACCTGACCGCAACCCTAACACCATCAGCTGGGGGTCTCCTGCCCAGCTGGGCTGTGGCCTCCATAGCCTGCTGTGCACCACGCTGGGCACCACACAGACGCACACAATAGTCAGAGGCCACTGTGTGAGGCCAGGAGCACTATGTATTGGGGGTGGCATCTTTATTCGGGACATGAAACTCAGGAGACCTTCCATCCCGGCTGGAGCCTGCTCCATGCCACAGGGTTGGAATCTTGACCCCCAGATCCCCCATGCAAGTGGGGGCAGCCTCAGTGACAAGAGTATGGGTGAGCAGTCAATCCACAGTGACCAGAGCACACTGGGAGCCACTGGGCAGGAAGCCTGCAGGCCACACAGTGCTGAAGCAAGAAGATGGGGGTCCCCAAGAGCTGCCTGGAGACAGCTGAGATCATGTGCCCTGTGCCATGGTAGACAAAGCCCCAGCCACACTGGAAGACTACACCCCAGGCCAGGGTCTGTGACAGCAGCCATGCCCTCAGGCTTCCCTCTCCCGGAGTCACATGCCTGGGACGGGGGTGGGGGGGGCAGCTGGGGACAAAATTGGAGATCTTCTCCCCCCAGAGCTTGCCCTGCCTCAGGCCCACTCAGCCCAGAAGGTGTGGGCCCCAGAAGGCAGTCAGCAGCCGAGACCCCAGGGCCTCTGAAAGCCCACACCATCAACAGCTGAGCTAACAAAGCACCACCCTGGAGGTGTCCATCTTCAATCCCTAAGCTTCAAAGGGCGCAGGTCACCTTCATGGAAAATTCAGTGTGGACTCCAAGGATGGCAATCTGGAAACAATCATTAATCAGAGTCGGGCTCCTTGGGGCTGTGGAATGTGCTGGTCATGCACACATGGCATCATGTTTCCCAGGACCCAGTGTGCACGCTTTGGAATCACTCAGCAAAGTGCATAAAACTGAGTGAGGAGTGTGGCATTAGAGGGGCTGTTGGGGAGGGCAGGTGCCAGCAGGAGGGTGGTGGTAAGGCAAGGGGGGCAGGCAGGAATGGCTAGACATGGAGGAGTCGGAGACCAGGACGCCGGCCTGCCCAGCACACAGCACAGGAGGAACAGGGAGAGCGGCTAGGGTGACCCACACAAGTTCCAAAGGGAGAACTCCCACGGCGCTGCCCTCTGGGGACCTCAACACAGCAGGGGACAAGGGTAGGAGCAAAGATTTGGGGACAAGAAGTGGAGATTGCTCACAAGGTCACACTAGCTGGGGAGCACCACCGGGAAGCCCCAGGACCCTGGCATGGCTGCCTCACCTGCCCACCCTCTTCCTAGTCCACACTCTTCCTCCCCAAAAGTTGGGAGATGGTGAAAATGAAAGAAAATCACAGGACAACTGCAGTAGCCCAAGATAAGCCACAGGAGAGATGGGAAGTTCTGAGAAAAAACAAGCTCAAGTGCTGCTTCCGGGAAGCCACTGGCTTCTTCTCCAATTCTAGGCTTCACTGCCAGCCTTCACACCCAGCAAGACCACTCCCAAACTCAGAGGCTTGCAAGGGTACTTGCCGGTGGGGCCCCGCACAGCCTAACAAACTGGGCTGGCGGTGGCTCTGGCTCAGCCAGCAGAGCAGGTTCTAAGGCGATGGGGGTGGGGCATGAGGAGCTGGTAGTGTGCTCTCCTCTCCCCTTCACCGTGTGTCTCAAATGCTTCTGTCCCCTCCCTGGATATCTGTTCATGGGGGCTCGCATGGAGCTCCAATCCCAAGCCCAGACCACACAGGGGGCCATGCTGTGAGGACCTGACATGTCATGATGAGAACTCAAGAACAGCGTAGAATCTGTGGGCCCTGCCATGGCTGTGCCTGTTCCCTGCAGCCAAACAGGGTCCCCATCCTTGCTAACCACCTCCACAGCCCCTGACCACTGTTGATGACCACTTCCCTGGTGGCTGGGTCTGGGCACAGGCCAGACAGCACCCCCAGCCCCTTGTCCCAGACACCCATCCGTAGTTTGCTGTGTGTCAATGGCTGCGTTTGTGTCCTGACAGATTTCTCAGGCACCAGGGGGGATGTGCCCTGCTCAAGTGCCCAGACAAGGCCCCCCAGCAGCAGGGATGGGACAGTGTGCCCTACCGAGTGGCAACCAAATCCCCATCACCTGAGCCAGGGCCACCTCCCACCTGGCTCCTGTCTTTACCACTGGAGGAGCAGCCTGCCCCTCTGCTCTGGTCTTCTCAGTTACTGATGCATCTGGGAAGCCCATTGTGCCATATGCATGAACTCAGCACCTTGCTGCCATGCAGAACTGTCCAACATGTCAGGTCTCCTCCTGGCTCTGAGGGGAGCCAGGCTCAAGCATGCACATGCGTCCGACAGGCTTCAGCCCACAGCACCTCTGTTCGCTTATGTTGGCACAGCCTAGATAGAACCTATCGGGTCACCTCCTGGCTTGACCATTCAAGCCACAGTGCACACTCAGCCTGTGTTGCTGGGACTCCTGCCAGAACAGGAGACAAGGGAGACCCCGGTGCTGGCCAGAGAGAGCTTGGGAGCCGGCTGGCCTGGGGAGGACAATGTGGCTGCTGCCAGATGGCGAGCACCAACATTCCAAATTACATACCCATTCCTCAGGCATTAAAGGCTTAGCAGCCCCCATTCCCTGATCAAAGCCAAATACCCTAGGGAAAGGAGATGAGCTTCCCAACCACTGCTGCCCAAGGCCTTTGGGAAGGGGCCTGGAGGTGCCATTCCCTGTGGGGAGCAGGCATCTCTGCCTGTTTCTGGGGAACTCCCAGAGCCTCAACACATCTAAGGCTCTGTCCTATCCCAAGATTTGATGGTCCCTGCATGGTTGTGCTGCCTTAGATGAGCCACTACCATCTGCAAGGTGCTTAGAACCCCTGAAGGCTTGATTTCAGCAGGCACAAGGCCAGGTCCGGTGTGCACCTCCTCCAAGATGTGTCCGTCCTGAGCACGGAGCCAGTCCTGGCCCACAGTCCTGACCCACAGTCCAGGATATGCACAGATGCCGGGGCCACCACCTGCATGCCTCCACAGGAACCTCAGTCAGCTCAGCTGGCCCCACAGGCCTCACTGCCCCAGCCTGTAAGCAGGAACACAAAGAGGCAGGGGGCAGTGGTAGGGCGAGGGGCTCTGTTATTCTTCCCAGTTCACAAGCAGCACCTGGATTTATAGGGCACCTGGCCATACAGGTATGAGTGTCCAACGTGCAGAGGGAAGCCAAACCCACTGAAAGCCCCTGAGAACCAAAGCCCGGACCACAGAGACCACGTGGTGGTGGAACAAGGGTGCTTCTCAAGTCCCTAGTCTGCCCTGGCACTTTCTGCTTCCAGGTGAAAGGCTGTCCCCTTAAGTCAGACTGAAAGTACTACTCAGTTCGCTCCAGGCTGGTTTTCATTGTGAGCTCATCTCCGGGCCCTCAGGGCAGGGTGCATCCCTCCCCTACCTCTCCATCCACCTCAAGTACTGGCCCAGGTATCCCAAATACTCAGACCCCATTTGCTTATAGCACAGAGCTTTCCAGATATCAACACTGTCAACGGTGACACGTGACACTTCTGCTGCTTCCTGTCATGCAGTGAAGCACTTGCTCCTCTCAAAAAATAAATAAATAAATAAACAGAAACAAAAAGAATAAAGAAAATCCAAAACCAAGCCTCTGACACGCAGCCTGCCAACAGCCTCACCCGGCCCACGTAGCCTCAGAGGGATCTTCTGTCACCTGAACTCCTACATCATCAGACACTGGGAAGAGGACCAGCACAGTTAGAGGCTACCTTGCTGTCCCTAAGAGGGGCTCCTCCCCGCCTGCAACCCCAGCTGGCCACTTCCTGGCTCCCCTGTGGTCTCCTCTCCACACAGGAGCCTCCTCTAGAAGTCATCTGTCTCTGTCCTGCAGAGCCGGGCCAGCCTACCTTCCGCAAAGGCCCCAAGTGGCCTTCTCCTGACAATGTTCACCCACCAAATACCCCTGGAACCGGCGTCAGCCCCAAGCCCTGGGACATCACAGCCTTCAGCATGCTGCTCAGGGGCATAAATCAGCCTCAATTCTATACCCAAACACTCGGGCCAGTTCACGGGACGGTCTGAAGGAAAAAAAAAAAGCCCCCTCTCACATGAATTATGACTAGCTCTGCAGGGACCAGTACCCTGGGCCACCTTGGAAGATGCTGTGCTCACCCATGCACACTTCCTGAGGACAAACTCTATCCTGCCAGGTCAGACACACCAGCACCTAATGTGACCCACCGGCTCACTGCAGGGTCTACCTGAAGAAACTTGGAGGAAAGGGCTACATTTCAAAGGCGGGCTAGTTTCAAGTTGCAATCTACCCCCACCAACTTCTCAGGCAAGTGTGGCATGGCACAGGGGCCTCATCCAAGCCACAGACATGCAGTGTTTTCATGGTACAAGCAGAGGAGGGGCAGGGGAACCTCAGAGAGGTCTGGTGAGCCCCAACAGTGGCCCCGCAGCCACCCACACCACCCCCCAGCCACCTACCGGTCAGCACATGCAGGTCCAGCGCCCGGCGCCCACTCATCAGCTCATACTGGAAGCCAGTGGCCCTCCTGCTGATGTCCTGCTGGGGCGTTGCCTCCACAAACAGGCCGCCCTGCTCCAGGCTGAAGCACTGCACCCGGCCAGCGTCACTGTCTCCATCCCGAACCAGCAGCTTCAGTTCTCCAGTTTTTTCCAAATAAATATTAGCCCCCGAGGAGTCCCTGAAGGGCTTGATGCACACAGTCAGGTGTCGGGAGGGTGAGAAGGTGTTGGGCCGCAGGTTCACAATGAGTGCCCCCGTTGGGTACATCCACTCCACGGAGCCGGCTGAGCAGCGCAGGTACACCTGCTCCACTTCCTTCCGGCGTGCCTCGTGTGTCAGCCCGCTGTGGGGAGGGGACAGGGTCAGCCAGAGCCCAGAGCCCAGGCTCCCAACACCGACTCCACCGCAACCGCCTGCCCCAGACGCCCAGCCCCCTTTGAAGGCAGGGTCCTACTTGGGGGGGCAGTGACCGTCGCCTCCACACACGCCTCCCCATAGATCCTCCCAGTGACCCCAGCCTGAAAACTCAAGTCTCAGCACATCCCCAACAGGGAGACTGCAGGCTCTGGGAACAGGGAGAATCAAAGAAGGGCTGGTGTCTCCAACCCCGAAGGAAGGACTTTGAACCGGAGACCCAGGACGTCAGGGGAGCCCATGGACATGGATGGGGACTGGCCCCGGGCACAGGAGCACTGTGGGTACAGCCAGGTAGGACAAACGCCAACAAGCTCCAGAGCCCCTCCTAGGAAGCTGGGCCGGTCAGCAGCGGGGCTGAGGGTTGTCTGCTCACACCCACCTCACTCAGTGGTACGTCAGGCAGGATATCTGTATTTCCCTGAAGATGATGATTTGACCATTTTTTCAGTCATTAACAAGCCTGAAGTCCCTGCACTGCTGACTGCATTCTTAAAAATAAACTCAAATATCATTAAAGCAAGATCTCTACAAGAACATAGGATACATCCCCCCTGGGGTGGGGGACACCGGGGACAAGGACCAAAGGGAACCTCTTAAGTAAGAGGGTGATCTTGCTCCTCCTAAGCTCTGAATAGGAAAAAAAAAAAACGCATAGTGTGTGCTGATTCACACTTTGCTCACTCCTGGTGAGGCAGGTCCTGAAAAAGACAGTTGTTTTCAAGAAATGGAAACAACCAAAACCATTAGAAGTTTGTGCTGCTCAAACTTTAATGTAAATGCCAGCCTGTTGCTAACAGTTACGTCATAACCACAAGTGGGCCTGGAAGCAAACTGGTGACTTCAGCTAAGTGTTTTATTACATGAAATTGGGTTCTGATCAGATCTCAGGTTCACTCACATTCTCAGGATTTTTATGTGAAATAAGCAACACTCTATCCAGAGCCCCGGCCTGAGCGAGTTACCAGAAACTTTCTGCAGAGGAGAAAATGTTTACCATATGGTTCACATTCATTGCTGGTGACTCACATTCCGGGCCCCCGAAACCTCACTCCTGAGATGATGCTGCCTGCAGGCTGGCTGTTCAGTGGCCCCACAGACCACATCACAGGGAAGTACAGAGGGCGAACCCCCTTGACCTGCTCCCCACCCCCACAAGGCCCCGGGTCACGAGCAGCCAGCCCGGCCGCAGATGTTGGCAGCGCTGCACACGCAGAACAAACTTACAAATTACAGGCAGTAAAACTCACACAAGCTCACCTGACACCTAGGAGGGACAGGCATAATTATAGTGCTGGGTGAAAATTAAACTAAATGGTGAGTGGCTGCCACACATGCCTGTAATCAGCTCTGTCCCTCGACATCCAAAACCTGATTGCCCTGTCCCCCTCCCATCCAGGGGCACCTGACTCTTGTCCCAACAGGCAGGATCGTCAACCCTCTCTCTCCAACATCGACATCCATTCTGAGCTTTTGCTTCCCCCTCAGAGGGTCGGAGGGTAGGAACCCACACCAGATGCTCACACACGTCTGACAGCACTGCATTCACCTGGAAGGGATGGGAATGGAGCAGCCCTCTCTCAACCCACAACTGGAGCCAGGTGTAGGTGGCTGACCCTGGACCCCAGGCTGAGGAAGCCACCATCTCAGCCTCCAGCTGCAGTCACGTGTGTCCTCCAAAAGGAAGCAAAACGCAGGGGGACCTCCGAGAAATGAGCTGCCTGCTCATGTCCTCAGCAGTGCAGGACCAGTGGCTGTACATCTCACTTCCTAAAACATCAGGGTCAACAGGAATCCAACTAGGCACTCGGCACAGGAGCATTCATGCTAAAATGTATACCATGTGAGGCGCGAGACCCCCGTTAAGGTACCACTGAGAAAAAGAAAACCAAGGGCCCTCAGTCTGAGACTCACAGGTCTTTGGTAAGTCAAAGCCTGGGCTGTACTGGTTCCTACCAGAATAGCTGGTACCCAAATCTCTCACCTCCGATACCCAGCACCACAGCAAACCTGAAAACATACCTATTTATGCGAAGTTTCTAAAACTGGAAACAGAACATATCTCTACTGATTACTGCTGATCATATTTTATCAACTTCACAAGATGCAGATGACGCACCAACGAGCATTGCTATGACGAAGCTGCAGGATGCAGAGCAAACTGTGGTTCTTAGTCTACTTCACAGAACTGAAAGGCTGATTTGATCACGGATTAATTAAACTGAATTAACACTTTAAAAAGAGTCAGTAACCATCACTACCCAGGTAGTCAAGCCCGCATGCTTTCAGGGAAGGGAGGGTAAATCCTGGGTTGGTTTGAGGATGGGATGGGATCCTCACCAGCATGGGGCCAGCTCACACACCACTCACACCCACAGCCAGGAGAGCCCAGAGCCACCAGGACAAGATGAGGGCCTCTGGATTACTGAAGTCAGAAGGAGCTTCCGATCCAGGGTGAAACCCAAAGGCTCTGCTGACAAGTTCTGCCTTTCATTTCCTCACCTTATAGGAGGCAATGCAGGTGTGACTGCACGCACCTGCCATGTCCCCTGCTTGATGGCAGTGGGAAAGTTCAGGGTCCATTTTTATGGCCCTGGCTCATAAAGATGGGGCGCTGGTCCTGCCCTTCCACAGGCACAGGCATTGCAAAATCTCCAGCGTGACTGCTTGGAAACACCTTCAAGCATTAGTGCCTTGAATATGAGTGGCCAGTGTCAGACAGCAACTCCCTTCCTATCAGGGTTGGAATCTGGCATATCTCTGCTCCCTCCACCCAGGGCTGTCTTTAGAGCAGCTTGTAAAATCATAAAGCTGTGGAGTTAGCAACAAAGCAGCTCCTGGCGGTGAGTCAGCTGGGGTAGAGGGGTACTAATCAGTGACACCAGACTCCAAGGCAAGGAGCTTTCTCTGTGCTGCAGCTCACACCCAAGCTCCCAGAGCCAGGTCAGCTGCCCACTGCACTCTGTCCAGCCTGCTCTGCCTTCAGGAGAGGGCCCAGGACAGTCATGGGGAGGAGTACAGTGGCATCCCTGCTTCTCCAGGCAGAGAGGAGGATGTGCAGGCACTTGGGGAGACCTCAGCTACTGCACCTGGGTTGAGAGGCCCTGGCCTGCCCCTGAGCTCCCGGGAAGGGGTCCTTGAAGGCACAGCCCTCTGAAACCTGGAAAGGCGGTCGATTTCCCTAAAGCTCAGGCTCACAGGACAAGAACTGAGTTTGTTTTTGATCTGCTGGAGCAGGACACCCCAAGGTCTCGCGCTGAGTGTTGATTCACCAGCAGAGCTACAAGCAGGGAGCATAATTACTGTGGCAGGGGAGAGGGCAGCCCCAGCAGAGGCGTCAGCATCGGGGACTGCAGGCCAGCTCTGTGCTGGCGCCAGCATTCCCGAGGACAACCCTCCCCCAGAGCTCCATCCGCCCTCGGCCCCAATCAGCTTGTCCTCCTCAAAGGCAGGGGGGTTCTGCGCTGAGGGAGCTGAAAACTCCCCAAGAGGTGGGCAGTGCCCAGACCTCGGGAGCCAGGCTCAGTCTTTCCATCCACTCCCCACCCTTTGGCAGGAGCCCTCTGGGGGTGAATGTGGTCACTGTGGCTTCTTAGAATTGGGTGCTGTGAGTGTCCAAGATGACCAGCAATGCCCAGCTGACGCAGAGCTCCTTTGGGATCACCCCCACCCTTCTCAGAAAACTGGCTGCACCAAAGCCAACCGTGACAGCGCTGCCCCCAGCCCGGCCTGAGTTGTCCGGGCTGCAGTGTGCCCATCAAACCAGTCTGGGATGGGGTGGGCGCCTGCCCATGGGGTCCTCCAACCAGACCCGGGGGCAGCCCCAGCGCGTCCGCGCAGCACGCTCCACAAATTGCCCAAGGGCCAACGTCTAAGGCACAAAACCGTCAGGCATAGAGCAGGAACCCGCGCAGAGCCCTTGGCGTCTGGCTCCCCACCACCCCGCCCGCGCACACTTGCGACCTGAGACTTGCACTCCTTTCTGCGTGTCACACTTCAGTTAGAGAAAAAGTGCTGAGCTGCCAGCACGGAGGGGAGGGGGTCGCGGGACCCCGCGCGGCGGCCAAGGGCAGCCTGACCTTCAAGGGGCTGGCGGGG